GAGGTAGGTACGTATTGTCACTACTCTCTAAGCATATGCTTAGTGCAAACCAACATTGATTAGCAGGTGGGAGAACCCAGGTCTCCAGAGGGACAAGAGCTTGCCCGAAGTCCAGCAGTGAGTACAGGACAGAAATGATCCGTCGTCCACTGAGAGGTCACCTTGAAGGATGGCCGTGTAAAGTGTCAAACTGGCCTAGGCTTCCGCCCCAGTTCTGCCGCTGGCTGCCACTAAAGGGATCCCTGACGCCATCCTCACAGAGGTGCTGAGGGGAGGAAGTAAAGAAAGCAGCAAACCCGGAAGAAAGAAATCAATGGCACTCATTTAAAGAGCCCCTCCACCAACGCTATTTCTCGAGGCGTTGACTGCCCCCAACGCAGGAAGACTCTTGCCGAGGACCTGCATCCATCTCTGTTGCAGTCAGTTCTCTGTCCTCCTGGCAGAAAGTTCTTCCCGGTTCTCCAGGGTGCCTGAGGCTCCCTACACGCACCCAATAATAATCACAGCAACAGTTTCTATTTTACTGAAAGTGTACTATGTGCCAGTGGCTGACATTTTAGCGAATCCTTCGAATAACCTACACGCTAGGTTAATACTAGGCTCCTCATTTAAAGATGGTGAAACTGAGGCTCCGAGAGGTTAAATGACTTGCCCCAGACCACAGGGCCAGGAAATAGTAGAGGTGGAATTTGATCCCAGATGTCAGACTCTGAAGTGTGGACCCTTTGAGCGATGTCTTGTTCTCCATCCTTGTAATCCTCACGTTGGGCTGTTCTATCCCTCACCCTCCTTTCTCCCAAGCAGAGGGAGCTCCAGGTAATTTGAAGGGCAACTTGGCACTTGCTTGGGCAGGCCCTGGCTCAGGCCCCAAACTCACCCTCTTCCTGCCTTCTTCATCTAGCAGCAAATTCTGAGACTCTCCAACAGTACTGTCCGTCCCCACACCACCCCACCACCCCAATTCTGGCATCATGAATAAAGATGTGAGGGCCACAGGTACCTGTGGCCAGGGTGGACCTCTGACCCCTCCCTCCTCCATTATTCAAAGCCACCCTTGCCCATGGTTTGGGGTCCCTTCAGAAGACAGCAGGACACATGCTTGTCTTTGCTTTATGATGTGGACTTCAGGCAGCCATGGATCCGAATTTGGCCTCTACCACTCACTAGCTATATAACTTTGGGCAAGAAACTTGACCTTTCTAAGCCCACTGGCAAAGGAGTTTAAGTTTGTTTAAAATTCCATTGGGAGGGGGACCCTAACGCCCAATGGGCCACAGCCCTGGAGTTGGGCCGAAAAATTCTAGAAACAACAGTCCCAGAAATTTATTCTTGTCCTTTTTCAGAGTACAAACTTGGGGCGGTGGGCAGCAGCTGCCAGGCGCCCTCTTGTCTCCTGGAGTTGGACCGAGTGGAGAGATGGCCGGTTCAAGGCACCGGAGGTGGTCAGTGACTGGCCTGAAATTCACCATGGGCTGGTGATAGACGGATGCACAAGGTTCAGAACAAGATGCACGAGGACTAGAGACTGCAAAAGGTGTGGCATTCCTAAGGCCAGAGGACCCTTCGTTTGCCATGAGCATCATCCGGATTGCAGTCCTCACCCTGGGGCTGACCCTGAGCCTGGTTCAAGGGCCCACACACGGCATCCCAACCTCCATCAGGGGCAAGTCGCAGTATCCCCACTGCATTTGTTTCCTGTGGTTGTTGTAACGAATTGTCACCAGTTCATGGCTTAAGGCAGCCCTAATTTGTTCTCTTACAAAGAGAGGTCAGAAGTCCATGGTCAGTCTCAAGGGGCTGATGTCAAGGAGTTGGTTTCCTTCTGCCTGCTCTGAGGGGAGAAGCTCTTTCCCTGATTTTTCCAGTGTTTAGTGGCCACCTGTATTCCTGGCTGGTGGTCCCTCCCTCCATCTCCAGAGCACATCACAACCTCTGCTGCCCTCAGCACAGCACTGTTCCCTCCTCCGTGTCACATCCCCCTCTGCGTCCCTCTTACAAGGACCTTTGGGATTAGATTGGGCCCCGCCCAGAAAATCCAGCATAACCTCCCCATCTAAATGCCTTAACCCCATATGCCAAGTCCCTTTGCCATGTAAGGTAATGTTCACACGTTCCAGGAACCTGGATATCTTTGGGGCCATTATTCAGCCTGCCACACCCATTTTCCAGATGGGGAATTTGGGCCTAGAAAGGTGAGATCACTTACCTATGACCAGGCAGGATTTGGCATCTGATGCCTGGAGAGCTGGGGCCTGACAGCCAGGTGGGAGTTATTCCCTGCAGGGTTATTAGGACTGGGGAGGGGCCTAAAGAGTCCCCCAGGAGGGGCTGGGGCTTCAGGGATACTGGCTGCCTCAGAGGTCAAGTGGAATCCAGGCCTCTGGCCTCAGGTGGTCTCCTTGAGCTGGGGAGGTGATGGGGGCAGATTAAAGCAAGATCTGGTGCAGGTCTGTGGACTCAACTGCCCCTAACCCTAGCTGACCTCTGGACACAGGCCTGGGCAAAGCAGGATTTCTCAAACTCTTCTTATCCCAGAGAAACCCTGGGGTTGAAGGAAATGGGCCCCGGGGGTGTAGCAGACCATTTTATGCCCCCCTCCCTTCCCTGCCCTTCACATGTGTCTTTGCTTCTAACACCCCCACGCCCCACCCCCACCCCCCACCCCTGGCCCTGCTCTTGGCTCCTGGAACAGCTTGGCCTGTACAGGTAAAGAATGGG